GGGTTCTAAGAGCACGAAAAACAAGATGGCGGTCAAAAGTAAACTTCTTATTTTCATATCATAGTGAAAGTTTTCCATCGAAGGCATGTCAGTTCAGTTTGGAAAAGGTACATTTAGCCTTGCAATAATTCAAAAAGGCTCAAATGAGTCACCGACGCATCACCAACGCAGTTTGTACGTTACAAGGTTAAAAAGTGGCCGACACGACGGTCGACTGTCGGCCGACTGTCGGCTGACTGTCGACCGACGCGTCGGTAGGATGGGATTCTTTACATTTACCCAATTTCTTTAACTTTTCAAAGTGGAAGTGTAAATTTAAGGTTTAAACGTGATGTGAACACATCCCTGGCAACAAAGGCTACATGCAAATGACAAGTAGCTTACAATAAAAAAATAAACTTACTAGTTGAGTGAGACTTGATCTCTCAAATTTTTTAAACTTCAATTGAAAATGAATTTTAGTTTTTTAAACTTCTTAATGACTGAAATTTGGCAGAATGAAATCACTTGAATTAATGATTGTTCTGACCCTTCTTACAGACTGTTTTCATGGGCAAGTCTTCCAAGGAGAAAGTAAAAGATTTTGATAAATGGAACAACTTCTTGAAGGAGGAACTCAGTGCTGGCTCCTTCCCTAAGGGTTTCCAGTCAGCTTTCCAATCCAGCTCAGAGTGGGTTGTCACATTCATTGAAGTCATTGCTGTTAACAGTGCCATCTACGGCATTGTATTCTCACTTGTGTTGTGTCTGGGCTCTGTTGCTGTCTTCACAGCCAACTTCTTCCTTACATTGATTGTAATGATCACTATATTAGGTATGTTGTCCATCACCATGTTAATTTGTCATTAAGTCAATTAAATGCATATACAGTAGAACCCCAGTAACTCAAACTTGGATAACTCAAACTCTCCCACTAGCTTGAACTAAGTGCCATTTTCCTTGGATTTCACCCCACTTTTCAGTCATTTTAACTCGGTTAACTCAAACTCGGATAACTCTAATTCCCTGCTAATTCGAACTGAATTTCATTTCCCTTGATCAAAATTCACCCTGATAATTCGAATTCTGGTTCATGTAACTCACCACGGATGTCATCCCATTAACTTTTTGTTGTCATGTAATCAGTAAAAACACTCAAAAACTAACACTACAGCAATTTAATTTTAATTAGTTCAATCGCAACTGACTGTTCACATATTTGACAGTCATTGCCTGATCTTGTGAGTCATACTGGGCAAGCCTGCACCTTTCCAGACAAGTTCTGGGATTGGCTAAAAAAACAATAGAAGGCATAATGACACAATAGCCATGTCACCGAAAACAATAGCAGCTGCGGGATAAGAGAACGAATCAAAATACAGGTCTAGAAGAGGTGCTGGACTACTGGTCATACTGGATGAAACAGTGCTACAGTGCAGAACGTTATGAAAAGTACACATACATTTCTAACGAGATAAGTTTTATTTGCACTGTACTGTATACTGAAGTGCTGAAAAATCAGTGAACTATCAATTATTAACATGGCAAGTTGGATATTCAATTGACCCCGATAACTCAAACCCCCACTAACTTGAACTGTTTTTCATTTCCCTTCAGAGTTTGAGTTACTGGTATTCTACTGTATTAACTAGTAAGCACAACACCAGTTTCCTCTGATGGTTTCCCTATCACCTGATAACTTGGGGGCCTTATTGAAGGTGCAAAGGAAACAAATGTTTTGGGCCTACCCTATGGGCAAGGTGTATCCTCTTAGGATGCACTAGCCTGGCAGTCATTCTTACCATTAAGCCCCCCAAAAGGTTTTTGCTAGCATGATTTATTTATAATTTTAATTAATTTAAAATTAAATTATTACACAAACTTGATTTCCTAAAGTTCTTTTCAGTGAAATGTTCCCCAAAAAACTACAATTGACTTTTAAGAAGATTACGACATTTTTTTTGTAATATTTAAGACACGATTCGATGTTACTAACATCATCGTCAGTTACAGAATATTGCAAAACCGTTAGGACTATATAACAACTAGGCGAAACATGCATAATTAATTATGATTAAGTGACAAACATTGATTACATATTTGAGTGAGTACAAAGTGTTTGAAAGAATATAAAGCCTAAAGCGTAAGTGTCAGGTTGACGTGATGAACTTAAGGTAAATTGTAGTTTTTGGGGGGAATGTTTAAGGTAAAGTGCAAAATATGGCCTTATGCATCTGATGGCGCGATGAGGACTGATGATGATGAAAGTGCAAAATTCACCGGTCCCAGACTATTGGACATGACTCTCTTTGTACTCTACCTATTGTAATAGAGTTGTCTGCATTTGTGTTCAGATAAGATTACAACACCAGCAGAGAACATCTTCTAATTTCTATGACTTTTCTCAAAGGTGTTTTAACATCAGTGGTAGCCATATTTTACCTGGCATCTTGGCAGCTTGGAGCAGTGGAAGCCATTTCACTGTCCATTTTGGTTGGCACGTCAGTGGATTACTGTGTCCATCTTGTAGAAGGCTACATTATGGCTGGAAATTCCATACCAGATGTGAACTCTTCTAAGGTTTGTTTGATGTTTGAAAAACATTTCGAAAATTTAAGGTGGCTTTGAACCCTACCCACAGAATTTTTTAAACTTTGCCAAAAGTTGCATCTTATCATGCTTATCACAAGTTGATAGTATAAGAAAATTTCACTGTGCCATTTTTGAATTATAAGCCCCTAAAGCTGTAATTAAGGGTGTTTTTAGGAGGTCATACTGTTGCCATGGTAACCTATTGTGTCACAAAAATAATATAAACGTGTTCACCAATAATTGGATAGTTTTTTGATACCATGACTGTAGCATCAAGTGATAAAGAGTGGTTATAACAACCCATCAAAATCTACGTGCTGGAAACTGTTTTGAGCCACCTTAAGTACCTTAGAAACAGCATTTTCTCCTCCCCCTTATTCCCTGTAGAGTTACCCCCCCCCCCCCCTACTCTGGTCATTGCAGTCATGAATGTGTCATAGTCATCCTGACAACAGTGTGGACAATCAAGGCTCCAGATAGATGAATGTACATCAGACATTAATAAGGGTATTATTGGAAACTCAACAAACAGTCAAGATTTTTTTTAAAACTTTGGACTCTGTTACTTTAGATTTTCAACCATGCAATTCTCTTCTGCAATGAGCGTTTCTAAAGCAGTGTAAACCAATAACAAAGAAACCTTTGCAAGATTTATAGTACTTTTGACTGTATAGTGTATTCAGCACATAACTTACAAACATCTTCGTTCAGCCAAGTAACTATTTATTAATCACTTTCAACAGTTATATTTTGTCTATTTTTACTTGACAGGAAATCCGTGGCTGGAGGACGTTGGCTGCTGTGTCCCACATCGGCACTGCCATTCTTAGCTCAGCCATTACAACTATAGTAGCATCAATACCTTTATGTCTGACAGTAATTCAGCTGTTTGCGAAGTTCGGTCAGATCCTGGCCATCAACACTGCAGTGTCCATTTTCTTCACCCTGACAATATGCGTAGCTCTACTATGTATCATTGCACCAGTTAGATTCCGTGCTTCTTGGAAATCATCGTTGATAGCCCTTGGAATTGTGGTAGTAGTGTATGGATTAGGAGCGATGATTCTGTACTTTATAAGTGCAATGGTAGTTGCCATCCCAGGTCCTGCAGGACAGCCCTTGTTTTCTTAACTGCATGCAACTCTTAAAAGAATTTGAGAGTGTTTGCTCAACTGCAGCTCCTTAATAGCAGTGTGAGACAATAATCTTGTAAATGGCAACTTGTTTAATGTATATAGGTAACATTGCTGTATAGTTCTGAAAATGATGATCCCTCTTACTTTTCTTACTCACCACCTTAGAGATAAGAAGAAATCTTGCAATGGGTGAATCTCATGTTGAGGTCACTTGTTAAAGGTTTCAATATAATTTTTAACAGGAGGGAATCCTCTAGGACCAAGGGACCCCTGAAAAAATTTGAAATTCTACTCTTGTAGAAATGGGTTTTCTATCAGTTTGGACCACAAAATCAGTACCACTCAGTTGCCTACAAAAAAATATTGTGGATAACTGAATTGTAATATTCAAGTCCATCATTGCAGGTGGATTTGCTCATAGTTATGACATATTTAGAGTGGGCTCTCGTGCACAGCATTTCACAGTGCATCAATGAGCGAATTTGCTCCACAATTTGAAGATACCAGGGAAATACTGCACACTATAACCAGCAAAATTGTGGTTTATTTGACTTAAAATGAGCTCAACTTTTTAGAAGACTGTTGAAATACTGATGGCAAAGTTCTGTTCACAGCTGGTCAATTTGTCTAGTGGCCAGCCCTTAATGAAACCCCAACTTGTGAGATCATTGCCCCAGTTTTCTTCTTGTTTCTAAAGTGGCGAATTGGTATTTTGCAAGATCTCCTACTATTGGCACTGACTAGCTTGGGGTACTGCTAAAATGTATACCATATGTGGATTAATCACACTATCAGCTAATAGAGGTGTCTGCTCAATTTGGGTTCATTTTAAAGAAAATATTACATTGGGACTTAATGAGGTTGGAAGCTTGCCTTATTGAGGTTGTCAGCTGCATATGAGGTGATGGGTCTGCTTAATGCAGTTCTGATTTCAGGGTGATTTTACTTTCAGAAATGTACAGTATATTGTAGCTGTTTTAAATTACAGCATGCATCACAAGAATTCCATTCTATTAATACCTCTTTCAGTGTTTGTGCTGTTGCAAACCTTATGCATATAGCCATTCACATGTTCAAAGAATCTATTCTTTGCTGCAAGATTCAGTATGGTGGCATAATTATCTCTGGCATTTTGCAGTGGAAATCTTGTGATGCATGGTGCATTTATGGAGAATTTTCAAATTCGTTGGTAAGCATCCATGTTGCTGAATTAATGGTGTTACATAATTTTTAAACTTGTTTTGGGCAAAATGTTTGTTTTTACTAGTACCTAGGATAGCTGTTTATATATTAAATTAGTAGCCACTCAATATGAATCAAATAATTTAGAATAGAAAATCGGAGATGATATTTTTGTAATTTGTTAAGCAGCTTGATCTAGTCGTTCTCTCTACTCTTCAGAGTGAGATTATGACTATGGTCATGTTATTCACTGATGAGTCATGCAAATGAGTCAAGGGGTAACTAGTATATTCAGATGTAGGGAACAAGCATTGTTTTTGTCCCCCATATGCTATTTTACAGGCGTGTACTCAGCTACCTGGCCCATAAATGCAAGTGAGGCACTGGAGGTGACCTTGCTTTGAGACAAATGTCTCTGGGTTTTTGATTTAAATGCCAACTAGTAGCAACTTGATTTGCCCACCAAAAGCAGTGAGGTCTGTATCAAAACAAGGTCACCTTCAGCCTTACTGCCATTCAAAAGCCAAGTTACTGACTGACACAACTGTAACACAACTGTTAAATGGTCTATGGGGTCTTTGAGATTTGACCCTAACCCTGAGGACTTACTGGCAGGCTTGTTGCCAAGCAATGCGACCTTGTCATGGTGACAAGATGACGTAACACACCAGTTTTGATTACTGCATACAATGTGTAAACAATAAGGAAAATGGAAATTTGTCCTTTGGGTAACTTACAAGTAGGAGCAGTTTTAAAATGCTGCAACGATGAGCAGATGACTTGTGGGTTTTAGCTGAAATGCTAGATACTTATCAACCCAAAAGAAAGGTAGTTGTAAATAGTTCTGTAAGTCACGAGCATACTTTCGTCACATTGAGAGAATTTTCTATTGGCTCTCCTTTACAATCATAGTCATTAAATTTGTAAATGGTCGTTAGTCATTTATGTACAGTATTTAGCCCATATTGTGTTTAGAAATTAAATTTAACAGCTTTAAGATTGCTTGTGCTTGTTAGGTATTATATATTTTTCCTTTTCACTTGTGAACAAAAGACCAAGTGTACACCTTACGGTGTCGCTGAGGAACTTACTTTAAATTCCTTGAATTGGTTATGGGTCAATTCGTGTTACCCTATTTAAAGTGCACACTTAACAAACTAACACTTAAAAACAAATTGAATTTAGCCCCTGCAAACGTTTTGGGTATATTTTATATGTAACTATGAAAGTGCATTCAGATTAATTTAGGCTTAATTTCAGCCACACTCTTGGGTCCACTGGACCTCTGAAGTATTGGTTTTTTTAATGCCTTCTATTGTGAAATTATCTGACTGTTTTTTTTCCCACTGTACTTAGGAATTATTGAGTATAGTTTGTGTTCCTCAATAAAATGGTGTTTATAAAACACAAAACACACAATGTGTAATCTTATATGTTTTGAGGTCTGCATATTGGAAGTGATATATCAAACACGAAAGACCATGTTTGACCACATTTCCAAACACTGAGAAGAGAGTTGAAAATACGACGCACAGGGGAGTATTTTTGACGAACTTCGAGGTGTTTGGAGATGTGGTCAAACACTGCCATGAGTGTTTGATATATCTTCTCAACCGAAACTAAAACGGAGGAGAAAACAAAGAAATAAAATCGTAAAAAATCTCTGCTAGTTAAGATCAGATATCCAGACGCCGTCACAGTTCTGATTTCCTTTGTTTCAACTTGATGAATTATTAATGAGTTTGAGAACTAAGAATACAGTGTAACCATAGAATGCATTAAATCCTGGACATCCATGTTATGTATATTAGGTGGGGAAAACCTTTGACTTAATCATGTTAGTTTATGGTTTTCCTTTTGGTTTCTATAGGTAGCTTCACATTCTGTAGTAGTCTTTTTATTCTCAGCACTATTGTTTTTCACACAGCCATTTTCATGTTGTAGTTTTAGCAATTATTAATATCCTAGACGTCACAGCAATTGGCGGTTAATCTGACAATGGATGTTCATGCAGGACATCTGAAACGTATGAAGAGTGTATACTGTAAATCCTCAAATTGGGACCTCCCCTCAAATAAGTGCCCATCCTATGGGCAAAAAAAATTTTAAAATGTCACCTCCCCCCACCCCCGTTTTTGTTGAATAAGCATCTCACCTCGCCCATTTTATGGATGAGTACCAAGCATACCCTAAATACTCGAATTGGCACCTCCCATTGAACAAGCACCTATCATATGGTCCTAATTTTGAAAGAAAAGCCCCCTCCGTCAAATAAGTGCCCACTCCCCTCACCCTGTAGTTCTTCAAGAGAAAGAGGATCCTTTTGAGGGGACTGACAAGGCCTGATGAAGA